AGGACACAAATTACAAATATCAGAAATGAGATAGGGGCATCACTATAGATCCCATGAACATTAACAGAATAATAAAGGAATAGTATAAATAACTACATGCCCACAAATGTGATACCCTAGGTGTCATGGGCCAATTTCCTGAAAGACACCATCTCCCAAAACTCAAACAAGGAATAAAAGACAGTGTGAATGGTTCTACATCTATCAAAGAAATTGAATCAACAATTAAATCACCTTCCAAAACAGAGAGCACCAGGTTCAGATGAGTTTGCTGCTGAATTCTACCAAATATTTAAAGAAGAAATTATACCAATTATCTATAATCTCTTGACGAAGACAGAAGTACAGGAAATACTTTGTAACTCATTTTATGAGGCCACCATTACCCTACCAAACTAAAGGTGTTAGAAGAAAAAGACCCATATCTCTCATAAACATAGATGCAAATATCCTCAACAAAATATTAGCAAATTTAATTCAATGTGCATAAGCAGAATTATACACCATTCTGAGTGAAGTTTATCCCATGTATACAGGGCTAAAATCTGGTCCCAAATTCAAAAATTAATTCATCACATCAACAAACTGAAAAAAAAAAAAAAACACATGATTAAATCAATAAATACAGAAAAGGCATTTGACAAAATCCAACACCAAGGCATGATAAAAACACTCAGTACACTAGGAATGAAGGTAATTTTGTCAATCATCTGTTAAAGAGCATCTACAAAAATCCTAGAGTTAATGTCATGCTTGATGAGAAACTGAAAACTTTCCTACTATGATCAGAAACAAGGCAAAAATGTCCCCTCTCCACTTCTTTTTAACATTGTACTAGAAGTCCTGGCTAATACAGTAAGACAATAAAAGGAAGAAAGAAAAGAAATACAGACTTAGAAGGAAAAAATAAAGCTGTCTTTGGATGCCTATTACATGATTGTCTTTGTAGAAAATACAAAATAATACTGCTTTTGAAAAAAAACCTTCTGGGACTAAAAGCAATTATATTAATAGAAAGGTTGCATGAAAGAAGGTTAATATACAAAAGTCGATCATTTCCCTATATACTAGAAATAAACAAGAGGAATTAGAAATTGAAAACAAAATGTATCAAATTAGGTCCCCCAAAAATGAATACTTACATATAAATCTAACCATATATATAAGTTCTATGTGGAAAAAATGATAAAACTTTGACAAAATATATCAAAGAATAACTAAATAAACTGAGATATTCCATGTTTATGGATAGGAATACTCAATATTGTCAAGATATCAGTTCTTCCCAATGTGATCTATTGATTCAATGCAATCCAAATCAAAATCCCAGCAAGTTATTTTGTGGATACCAAAAAACTGATTCTAATTATGAGAAGGGAAAAGACACACAACAGCCAACACAATACTGAGGGCAAAGTACAGGCTGAGATAATTGATCTTACCTGACCTCAAGACTTATCATAAAGCTACAGTAGTCAAGACGGTGTAAAAGAATGGACAAAAAGGTCCATGAAACAGAATAGAGAGCCTAAAAGTAGATTCACAAAAATACAGACTACTTGCCTTGACAATGAAGCAAAGGCAATACAATCTTTTTAATAAATCATTCTGGAATACAGACCTTACAGCCTTTGCAAAAATTAACTCAAAGCAGATCATAGACTTAAATGTAAAATACAAAACCATACAGCTTTTAGAAGATAATGTTAGTGAAAACATAGATGATCTTGGGTATGGTGATGATAAGTTTTTAGATACATTACCAAAGTTCTCATTCATGAAGAAAATAACTGATGTTAGATTTCATTAAATGAAAAACTACTCTGTGAAAGACAATGTCAAAAAAAAGAGATGAAAGAGATGACAAGCCACAGACCGGGAGAAAATATTTTCAAAAGAAACATATAAAAAGGGACTGTTATCCAAAATATACAAGAAACTCTTATAACACAACAAACAACCAGGTTCAAATATGGACCGAAGACCTTAACATTCACCTCATCAGAGAAAATGTACAAATAGAAAAATAAGCATAATGAAAAGATGTTCCACATCATATATTATCAAGGAAATGAACATTAATTATAATATGATATCCTGGAGGGGATCCTGGAACAGAAAAGGGACATTAGAACATGGAGTATGGACTTTAGTTAATAATAATATCATATCATTATTGACCCATTAGCTATAACAAGCATACAAATTAGCATAACATGTTAATAGGGGAAAATTGGTATGGGACTTACAGGAACTCTCTCTACTATTTTCTTAATTTTTGTGTAAGTCTAAAATTGTTCTAAAATAAAAATTTTATTTTTTTAAAAAAGTAAAAATCATTTCAGACATGAAGACTAAATCAAACAACATAAGAACAAATACAGACAAGAAATAGGCTGTGAAATAATTAAAACAACAACAAGATACCATCTCATACCTATTGGAGAGTCCAAAATCCAGAACACTGACAACACCAAATGTTAGTGAGGGTGTGGAACGTCAGGAATTCTGACCCATTGTCAGCGGGAATGCAAAAAGCCACTCTGGAAGATAGTTTGGCAATGTCTTACAAAACTTTAAAATACTCTTACCATACAATTAAGCAATCATGTTCTTCAGTATTTACCCAAAGGAGTGAAAAACTTATGTCTATACAGAAACCTGCAGACAGATGTTAATAACAGTTTTATTCATAATGACCAAAACTTGGAAACAACAAAGATGTCCTTCAGTAGGTACATGGATAAATAAAATCTGGTATATCCAAGTAATGGAATATTCCTCAGCACTACAAGGAAATGAACTATCAGTCCATGAAAAGGCACGGAGAATCCTTAAATGCATATTACTAAGTGAAAGACGTCAATCTGAAAGGCTAGGTACTATACAATTCCAATATGACATTCTAGAAAGATAAAACTATGGAGACAATAGAAAGATCAGTGGTAGCCAGGGGTTAGGAGTGGCCAAGGATAGACAGGCAGAGCACAGAGTATGTTTAGAGCAATGAAAATAAAAATACCTTGTTTAATTTTATAATGATATATATAAAACATATCATTGTACAGTTTTTCCAAAGCCATGGAATGCATAAATCAAAGCATAATGCAAGCTTTGGGTGATAATGATGTGTCAATGTATGTTCATCAACTGTAATAAATATACTATTGTGGTGAGAGATGTTGTTAATAGAGGAGGGGTATTCCTGTGTGGAGCAGGAGGTATTTGGAAAATCTCCATACCTTCTTCTGAATGTTGTTGGAAATGTAACACTGCTCTTAAAAATAAGAAGTCTCTTTCCCCCCCCAAAAAAAAAAGAAATAAAGTCACTGAGTTAACATCTTATCTATGTATTCAGAGCCCTTCTTGCTCTCTTTTTTTCAGTAACAGATCCTACCCCCATTCAACAGCGTGGGCAATTTGTTACACAAATTGGTCCAATCCAAGTTCTTCCCTGGGAATACAGTCAAACACCATCTGTACCGCTTTATAATGAAATCGTAAATCAGAGGCCTCCGCTAGCCAGATCACCCAACATACAGAGAAGCTGGTCTGGGTGAAAAAGCTGACACCCAAAAAAGAAGAAAGACAAAAGACCTGGAAAGCACTAAAGGCTTCTATGTTCCTGAATCCAGTTGTTACTAAGGCAAGTTTTATCCCAATCATTTGCAGAGTTTGGTTATTTCAGCCAATAAGTTCCAATTTTTTTTTTTTTTAAGATTGACTTGGTCACTTGCATGGTCTTAATGAATCCACAACAGACTCCTTAAGGGAGTGTCTTAGTTTATTTTCTGTTGCTATAACAGAATACCACAGACAGGGTAATTTTTAAACAATAGAAATGTGTTTGGCTCACATTTCTGGAAGCTGGGAAGTCTAAGATCTCAGGGCCACATCTGGTGAGAGCCTCTTGCTGTGTCATAACGTGACAGAAGTCATCACATGGTGAGAGGGCGAGAATGCACAAAACAGAGAAATGGGGTCCAAACCTCATCCTTTAATTAGAAGCCTACTCTTTCATTAACTAACCCACTCCCTCCATAATGGCATTAATCTATTCAAGATGGGACAGCCTTCATGACCTAATCACCTCTTAAAGGCCCCACTTCTTAGTACTGTTACATCGGCAATTAAATTTCAACATGAGTTTTAGAGGGAATATTCAAACCATGGCACGAAGTGATGTTTGCATGAGTTTGGCTATGCTGTCTTTACACATTACATTGTACTTAGCACAAGGACCTGCAAAGAATAGAAACTCAACAGATAGTTGTCAAAGTAATGATTTTTTAAAATTTCTATTTGAAATTCTGGAATAGTGTGTAAGATGCTAATATTCATAAAATTATTATGTGTAGGAAATCATGAGTAAGTTCAGAGTCTCAAGAGATACTCATACTTTAAGTTGCCCGTTTTCCAAAAAAAAAAAATGCACGTGTTTAACCATGCTGCAAACATATTCTTTTTCATTAACTGTCCATTGCCTCCATATAACATATTCTTTATACCTCCTCATAGTGAAAGTGCTTGTTAGAAATGTATTCAAATTTATTACACATTAATACATAAACAATCATATAACAAATAATATAGATATATGTATATAGTGTGTGTGTGTGTGTGTGTGTGTGTGTGATTTTAACCAAGTTTCTGGAAAGTATATTAATTGCACTTAGAAAACCCAAGATGTAAATATAACAAAGTAAAAGTTTGCTCCACAGTCTCTTAAACAGACACCTTTCTATGAATTCTGTGTGCAACTTGTTCATGAATATGGAAAGTATCTGAAGATTTTCTTTTTACTTGTCTTGATTTCCTTGAAGACTCTGGCACGCAGCATGAGATTAAAATAATCTGGCATTGCTGGCTACTTTGCCCACAAACACCAAGGAATAAATATTAGAATGATGGATTCTCTTTCCCTTGTCAACCATCAATATGTTCCAGCCTGGGGCAAGGTCTAGGGAGAAATGTTAAAATAAACAAATAGAACCAAAGAGTAGCTTTATTCTTTTATTCAAAGTTTATTAAAATACAGGAACAAATTGTATAAGCACACATACCACTCAGCACCAATATGATAACACCCTTTCTACTGAGAATCTCCAAAGCAGTTCTTTTTCTGCAACTGAGAAGCACATATGAGTAGCATCTGCACACATGCATTCTCACCACATTTACCCAGTACTCTCGGCATCATGTCCCGAATATTCTCCTTGCCAGGGATACAAAGATGGGGAGAGGCCAACTAATGTGACTACATCCAACCACTGACTGAGTCGACAACTCTTTCGTCAGTAGTTATCATCCGCACACTGGTCAACTCTGCACATCTCTGTCTCCCTCTTCGGGTACCCGATTACTTGGGCTAGTGAGTCTGGGGATAATGTGATGCAAAACTAAACAAAACTGGCCAACATTCCCTACCCAATATCATTTAATTGCTTTGGTTATAAAGTACTGGATACTTATTTCTTCACATTCCCCAATGCTAACACACATAAAAACCACACTAACCAGCGACATGGGCCTGGAGAAGTCTTGAGAGAATTTTATTTCCCATCCCCTTCTGTGGGTTTCTTTCATTTGTGTGTTTACCTGTTTGCTTTTTCAGGGGAGGGGGAGAAATGGAGGGTTTGAGCCAAAATAGTGACTTCATTAAACATCTGCTGGGTCTTCGAAGTCTCAGTAAATATTGAATAAACTCCCTGGAGCTCTGCTGTTGCTGCCTAAGACGGGCAGCCAGCCCTGACTTGCATGAGCAGTCTTGTTTGGATATCTGCACATGTTTGCTTTCTATTGGTTCAGACTCACCTTGGAACAGAGAGGGGTCTGTTAAGTCTGAGACCTTGCTTCTGTTGCTTATACACATAGGGCATTAGGAAGTGGCCCGATGTTTTGCTCATCCTAAAGTCACTCAATGACTTGCAGAAGCCTTCAGCCTTCCTTCGTGAGAAGTTTGTTTTCAAATCTTCCCGGATTTGTAGATCAAGCCCTCAGGGCCTCATCTTTCCCAGTTAGCAACTTTCTACCTCTCCCACCCTAGATCCCCTCTTTTCTTAGAGAGCTTCAGGAAATGACTAAGATTGTGCCAATTGCAAAGAGATTGGTACGTAAGCCTCATTCTGGGAGTATATATGAAGAGTGGGTTTGGATTCTAGTTTTGGAGTGAAGAAGGAAGTTGGAATCTAACTATATATATATTAACTCTGATTTTTGGCGATACCATTTAGGAAAAAAAAAAAAAAAGCTCCTAAAATTAAAAGCCTTACTTTCAGTCCCCACTGCTGAGACACATGACATTGGGCATGTTCTGAAAAGCTCTAAATGCTAGTAAAGGTTTTCATTAATCCTTCAGTGGGACAGAAGTCAGGGTCTACATTTTTTCTTTTTCAATGGTCATATGATACTAATTAAGCTTATTTTCCAAACCATCAGTCAGAGTTCAGGTGGAACAAATGTCCAGATCAATCCATCCCCTTTAGGGAATCTGAGGACGCCTTGTAATCCACCTGGGAATTTTCCCAAAGGCATACATATTGTCTTTAACCTGCCCTCTAGTAAGGTAGCACCATCATGTGACCTCACCATATGTCATAATTTTTACTTAAGAACCCAAATAGTAAAATACACTCAGGCAAAATGAAAGACAATAGGCTATTCTTCCCACCTTGATGAAAGAATAAGCACTTCCTGGTTAATGGGAGAATAATTTAACTAGATAGACACTGGGAAGTTGATATTACCAAAAACCAAGGGGACTTCTATAAATGAGTTGAAGACACAGGACCAGAGACCACACATGAAAATAGAAAGTCATGTAACTTAAGTGGCTGTCACTTAGCTTTACAAAGCAGAAACAGTTACTAATCTACCTCTAAGGAGGTCAGTTACATTTTAATAACTGTATGAAACACTTCTAAATTACTGAGCAGACATTTCCATTCATGCCCATTCAAGAAAGTCATTGTTGATCCCACTAGTATTTTCACTAAGCAATAAATAAAGTCAGTTTTTAATAGTTCCAAGACATAAGTCATTCAAACAATAAGGGTTTGAATAAAACCAGATGCTATGATAATATTTAAAATTTCTTGGAAACTATTTTAATAATAGACAAGCTAATGCAGCTTAAAAGGCTAAACTGATAGCTCCGTGTAAACACAGCCTATGGGAGAAACATGATCAGGGACTAAGAAAGATAACTCAGACTTTTATATATGATATAAATATATCATAGATTTATGCTATGATATATAAATAGATACACTTTTCCCTGTGAGAATAAGAATTACAATTCCTCAAAGGAACACATACCTTATAAAACACATGATAGGCACGTGAGTATTGGCAATCTAATAATTTCTCAGCATATCAGCTAAAGCATTGATTTTCCTCTACCTCAAATAATGAGTTCTTGTTAATTTCATAAAAGAATGCATCACAAGAAATCACAAAAATTTATGTTGAGATAAATAGGTTACATAATTATAGGCTTTACCCTGATAACACCAAGACATTCTACATAGTGTAGGATTCCTGAGCTTTGTCCATTCATTTTCTCCATTGGCCCTTCCACAGCCTTTCTTCCAGAAATTCTTACATATTCTATTGAGCATCTTCCTCCCTGATAGCCTGTGTCTTTCTATGTTTCCTTCCTCTGCTTCATTTCTCCATTGGGCTATCCTCAGGGAGAATAGGTCTGCACACATAAACGACCTCTTTCTTTAAAAATATAGCACAACTGGGTGATTTTTCCATCATCCTTTTCCCCAGTCGACTGGCACTGCCTTAGCCAAATCTCATCCCCCCACCGGCTTATCTGACATACTGTTACATCACCGTACACATTGAATAAAGGGGAAGCTTAAGGACAACAGTGTGAATGTGCTGCAACCAGATTTTTTATTTTACTGTTTTAGGGTCCCACGTAAATCTCGACACCGTTTTGAAGATAAAAAAATCAATGAGGGCAGAGACAAGTCTTGAATGTAGAGGTTAACAACCGAGGAATCTGAAATAATTATTCTCAATATGATTTTCCAGCAATTCATTAGAAAACATCACATTTTTGAAATTTGCCTTGTTTCTTTGTGGGTGGTTTTTATAGAATTTAAAACATTAGAAAGCTGATGCTGCCATAAAAAAAAATATTTGTCACAATGGAGCTTTAATATTTACACAACATACCAGCTAGTGATATGACTGATATGTTGCTCCCATTTTAAAATAAGAAAATACTTTTGATTCTTGCACACCTAGTTCCCACTCTTTTCTCATTTCAGACAACTAGTTTAAGAATGCATTTTCAACTTTAGTTTTTTCTATTAATTTATTTTTATTCAGTTATTAATGGAATAAACAAAAGATCCTTTGATTGTACCTTTAAATACAATCATATACTATGATTTTATAATAGTCTCTTATTTATCAAAAAAATATGATACAAAATTGGTTCATCTATTCTTTTGGGGGCTATGATCTTTAAATATTACTGATGGGTAAAACTATAGTGTCCATTTTAAAAAGAAAAAACTATTTTATATATATTAAAATAGCATTATAATCATATACTATAGGGACTTTAGATTACTAAAACTCAACTAATGGAAAAAAGGAAGATCCATGTCCAAATTTAAATGTCAATGGAAATTCCACGATACCGGGGGTTGCCTTATAACAAAGCCTCCAAAATTATTGATCGGAATTATCTATAACTTCCTCTTCTTCTATTTTGCAATGGAAGTAAGCTTGTTTGTTTGCACCTATCCTTCATTATAGTTCACCTACTTTGGGAGGAAATCAAGGCTGTGCTGAATGGCCATGGTACCTACCCCCCACAGCAGCTGAGAATATATATACATCTGCATGTATGTATGTACGTATAATTTCTTCAGCGCAGCATTCAGAGAGAACACTGCTATAGAGACTGAGATTAGGAATGACTTGGCCACATAATAACTGCAGGAATGGAGAGGAAAAGACCAGCATCAGCAGACGCACTGGTTTTCCTTTAACGGTATTATGGGGTGTAATTAACCCACTGAAAATATACATACCACATACATGTTTCAAAAGTAATTATTTCCAACAGAAACCCCTCACAACTACAAATATTTAAGAATTTTTTTTCCTTTCAATCCCTCCTTTCTCCTTCTATCTAGGAACATATGACAAATATATTATTTTTATATGTGTATTCTCTATGCCACCTTTAGCGGCACTGCTGCGTCGTTTTCTGGTCTTGTGTGTGTTTCTGTATTTCTGTGGCTAACAAATGAGTTCTACTCTCTACAGCTTCAAGGTGAAACTCTGTGAATTTTCCAAATCTTTCTGCCTCCTCTTTCCTAGCTTGTCAATTTGATTTCTTTCCTAGCACTCTCTCTACCTGCCTAGGAAGTAACCCTCACATTTCAGATGATCATTCTAACCTCCTCGATGGAGGGATTATTCTTGGTATCTACAAACATACCTGTAAGTTCTGGGCTATGAAGACTGAGAGCACTACACAACTAAAAGCAACATCAGAAACGATTCTAAGGTCTACCCTGACACCAATGTCTAACCACATGGCTGGGTTCAAGGACTTGTTATAAATTTGAGGAATTTCCAATTAGGCTTCATCCATGCCAAATAGAGCAAAGACAATACCCCTTATCTTAACGTAGACAGTAGCTTCCTAATGTAATTATTCTGATAAGTCTTTTCTTCTGGTCTCAAAGCATGCATCCCCTGTATCAGCTCCTTCCCAATGCAGAATGAACACATGCTGAATCAGGGTTTCTTCCTCTCCATCTTGGGATCTTTTCACATAAGGCTTTTCACCAGAAGAGAGGTGATGGGGCTACTACTTAGCCCAATGCCATTTGAGTAGTGAAGAAAGTATGGAGCTGTCAGAGATTCATGTTCTTCTGAAAGGCAGACTCCTGTCTTTCGGTAAGGCAACGGGACTCTGTTGAAATACGGATCCAGTTCTTAATGTCCTTGCCTTTATATGCTTTTTAAAAACAATAAGCTCTCTTAAAAATCATACCTTTATCCAGCTAATCTAGTTTTCTTTCATCTCTTGCTGAAATTCTTCTCCAGCCAATGCCGGACTTCTTGAAGGTTGTAGGAGAAGGGGCCCTTTCCTCCCAGATAAGCAATTTTCTGTCTCTGCACAATGCACACACGTTCAAAGGCTACCCCGTAAGCTACGTTGGCATTATTGTCCATGCAGTCAGCCACAACTCGGCACTGGGGCGGCAAGGAGAAACGCTCCAGAAGCTTCTGGGCTGCTGCACATCGATCTTCCTGGTTCTGGTGCTTCTTCACCTCGAAAGACCAAGAGGAGTCCCCAGGTATCGCCCAGCCATCTGACGGATGAGCCTCATCAATGTAGACCAGCAGGAAGTCAGCCACTGAGGAGAACTCTTCCACCAGTTTGCAGAAGGCTGGCAGCTGGCTCGTGAAAGGAGGTCAAGTAGCTGAGCCAAAGTTGACCACCAGTGGGCGCTCAGGGCTGGCAAAGTCAAGAAGGTGACATGCGGCTCCCTCAGCTATCTTCTCCTGGGGACCATTGCCACTGTTGTCACCTCCTTCTGCACCGGACACATGCACCACACTGGAATTGGGGGCATCCTCACCCAATTTCACCTGATGGTAAAAAACAACAACAACAAAAAAAGGAGAGAACATCACATTAAACACATTGCCACTTCAATTCATGTTAAATAGTTACAATTTGGCTCTAATAGAGTGTGGTATATTCTTCAGAGCATGTGGTAAACATTTATTGATTTGAGTAAAGAGACATCATGGCAGGTAATGTAAAGAATGGCCCAAAAGAAAGTAAAAGTCTTTTTCATTCTGTATAGTCACTGAAGGTAATTATTTTCCTCATTGAAGGCACTGGAGTTAACTCTTTTTATAATTAAGCCGAGGCTGGTATTCTTTCCTATCTTTATTTTGCTGTCAATGCTTAGCATGCATTCTATAACAAATGATTAATTGACTTCATTTTAAAAGTTAGAAGCAAATGGTCTCCTTTAAGATGAATTATCAGGGTCTTGGGACACGGTGCCTCTTTCTGCATTCTGAAACACCAGTCAGGACCTTTATTTCCTTGCACAATACTAAGTCATTTAATCCCAACCAATGGCCAGTGATACCAGTGGGCTCTATTCTTGGCCAGACCTAGAAAACCTGAGGTCTACCATTTATAAGAAGGGTTACTTGCACTTAACCACCTTAGTGATTCAGCTTTTCCATCTGTAAAATGGAGGTAATAATGCCCGTCTTCCACATATGGCAATTGGAAGACAACATGAGCAAAAGAGTTCTTTGTAGACTGTAACTAGGTGGGTGTGTGTTGTCCTTATTAGATGCTACCCCACCATGTGAAACAGAACATAGTCTTTCTTGGGCAATTCTGTGCTTTAAAAATATATATATCCTGAGCAAAGCTTTTCACTCTCCTCAATTTGGCATACTCCCCGGAGGCTTCTACTGCCACTGCTCACGGGGTGGCTCTTACCACTCCAACCTCACAATTTCTATTAAATTAAAAAAAAAAAGGCTACTCCTGAATTCTACTTTAATTTCTCATTTTGCATATGTGCCTGTTTCCCTCTTTTTATCTAGGAAGCCACATTAAAAAGTACTTTTCTACCCCACAATTTATTAACAAGCTCCTCGGAATTATAAAATATTGGGGCAGAAGAGGTAGAGATAAAAATTGTTTCATGTGCTCCCTTTGTGCATGGTTTAAATAGTGGAAAACAGAATGAAGGAAAGTTTGCAGGCTTTGAATCTGTAAACTGATAATTAAAAAGCAGGCAATAATAAAAGAGCCAATTACTTCAGTTTGAATTAATACAATTAGATCTTCTTCAGAATGGCTTAATCAAAGCCAATAACATTAAGGATGACTTACGACAGTACATTGGTTTGTATACACTATCCTTAATATTACAATATACTTCCAACTGGATCGACTTATTTCCCTCACATACATATAGCCACACATAAAACTAGTGTTAATTGAAGTCACGTAGAAGTGAATTGTTAAAGATGTAACAATCCAAACCAATATAATACACTCAAGGGCTTTTGTTCAGAAGCTTCTATCTAATGTTAATGCATAACTCATTTTAACTGTAGAGAAAGAATTAAAGTTCTTTCTCTCCCTTCTGAAAAATCCCAGCAGGGCAGGTTTGAAATAAGCACTATTAGTTTTCTAAGAGAAATCTTACAGTAATAATCTCCCTTCTCAGAAAGGAAGCTGTTGGTGTGACTTAAGTAAGTAAATTTGTTTTAAGTCGCCACCACGGAGAAAGTTATTTTACTTACGCTAACTTTCTCAGTTAGTTTACAAGTGACACTAGATGGAGAAATCAAATAAGCACGTATACCTGGATTCTTTCATATGAACTATGCTAGTCTTGAAGGCATGAAAATATACATCAAAATTAAAGATATACATCTTAAAGGTATTGTAAATCCTTTAATCCATGGGTTCTTTTTGGACTTCTTATTTTTTATTTTTACTTTTATTTTGTAGATCTCGGTAGTGGGTAGCAGTCTCTTCTCTTTAGATCTTTCTCATTTGAAAGAGTAGTAATGATTCCAGGAGGGTTGTTTTAACGATATCATGTGTGCTGTGTGCCCGAACACACTGTGATAAGAAGACCGAAATGCATTCAGATTAGTCTGTCGTAGTGACTTCCTGTTAAGTAAGCAACCCGTACACGTGGGTTCTTGGTAGGTAAAAACATTCATCTGCATTTTGGAATCATTTTTGAACTCTATAAACAATTACGTAGCCTTGATAAATGGGCCTCTAACCCCTTGACTTACCCAAGCAGGCCTGTTGATCCTTTCATTATTTCTGATTATTCAACTGAATAATCTAATCTGATGCTTTTGTCACAGGAGACTCTCCTGTTACCTGAAGTAAATTTTCCTGGAAAGTTAACACACCTCCTCCTTCTTAGAGACAAGGTATACTTCAGCTCCAGAATTCTTTCCAAAACACAGACTAGTTTGCCTTGGGAAATTTAGAGTAAATACCACACTGTCACTCTAAAATAAAAAATTAGGAAAGTTACAAAATCCATAATGCTCTTTATGTGGGGGATTCAGCATTTTGTTAGGATTAGGGTTAGACTGGGAAGTATTTATTTCGCTGAATGAATGAATGCTAATTATTATAATCCTAGCTCAGTGAAGAATTTTACACTTAATGATAACCCTGATCTGCAATGAACGTAACCATATTTGGTGATGGATAAGCTCACTGAAACAGATACATTCAGAAATAAGAATCCTGGAGCCCTCTTATAGAATACTACTGTAATCAACACTCAGTGTTATTGATCTGTCCTTGACTGTTTCATCTGGTCAGTGCACAAAACAAATGTGGTCTATTCTTTTTATTTTGTTGAGCAGCCAGGGTCCCTTCCTGAATATTATAATGCCACAAACGGATATTCTTATTCGTGGAGGTGCCTAGGCAAGAGAAAATGCATAGATAAAATTCATATTATTAATCAAGCTAAGAAGGAAAAACACACACCCACCATCCATAAATCCAAATGTGAGTAGACCAGTAGTCTGCTTTTATAAGCTTCATATACTAGTCATAAAATGTGCCCATCATTCCTAAAAGTTGATGGAGGACTATTTAGCTAAAATAAAGAAAAAAAAACCCTTTTTTAGATATGAAAGTTTCCTTTAAAGAAAATATTCTAAAAGGATATTACTGGTCATTGTCAACTCCCCATTTGGTCACCATAAATTTAAATTCCTAATAGACCAGAGTTTCAAATGGAGAACTTCTTGGTTTGCTGGGTTATGCACCCTGCTGAGACAGGCTGGGAGAATCACCATTGTCTTCAATGATGGAAGATTCTCTGCTCTCCCCAGGAGCAAAGCATTCCTTGACACAGGGCCAAAATGATGAAGAAAATAAAGTTGGTCCCATAATAACATTTAGGCTGCAGGAAAGAAACTCAACAAAAACAAGTTATCCCTCGGTACTCCCAAACTTTGTTTTAATTTCCCACAGTGGCACAGAAAGTCTCCTGGCCACAAGTTACCTATCATCTTAATTTCTCCTTCTTAGAGGGTTTGTGTTTGGTTTTTGTCCTTAATGAGACATATTTGCCAAAGAGGCATTCAAAAGGCATTTTTTACTCTTGCGGAAGAGTAATTAGGTCGGTACCTCTTTCCCTGCCAGCATTAGCCGCTCTAAAGAGAACCCTGCCCAGTATTTAATGCCCAAACACAAGAAGCATCATTTCTACTAATTGGTCTTGAAGTTCCGATGTTCCCAAAGGGTCCCTTTATTTTGCAAGGATCAGAAGGGACACACGTAAAATGTGACATTGTCATCGCTGACTTTTATCTCTCTCATCTGCACCATTACAGTGGTTTTTTCTTATGTTTTTGCAAGCAGCATCCACACAACACCAACAAATTAAACAGGATTTGCATTTTCACAACAGAAGACAACTCTGGGCCAAGTTCAAATGCTGCAATGGACATCTTTATGAATATGAACATGAACGTACATACATAGCATATATAAAAACGTGATTTCCTTGATGATGTTTTGTGTTCAGTGCATGGGCGTAAAGGAAATGCTGCTTTAGCGTGTGGACTGTGAAACCCGGGGCAAAGGGGAAGAAAGAACCATTCATCAAGGAGAAGCAGAAAATAGAGCATATACTACTAACCTTGTTTTTTGCTTTGGCATTTTTTTTTTTCTTTTTCTTTTCTACAGCCTGAGAAAGGTTTGTGGACAATATATCACATAATCTCATAATAGAAAGTAAAGCAAATGATAAAAATGAAGGGGAGGGAGGTGGTAGCAGAATTTTCACACAAACTTCTTGCTATCCAAAGCCCTGGACATGGCTTTATTAACTATCAGGAAGTTTCAAATTCTTTGACATAATGACCAGGCTAAATCAATGTCCTTAGAAACATGGCCAAACAATCATTAAGCAGAGATTTAACCATTTATATTCAGATTGGCCAAATAAATCAGAGTTGAAGAATAGGCTACCTACTCCTTCCTCTGAGCTCAGTTCCCTTTTAGCTATTCTCCTTTTAATTTGTACCTTGAAAATGTAGCTCTAAGCTCTATCATTCCCCAATGTTTTATCCAAATGATGGACAAGCTCTGGCTGTGGCCTGCTTTATGTACTTTTTTGACTGTTTCTCTCTTAAAAGGGCCTTTTTCCATTGTGGAAACTAGTGTCAAAGGCTCGAGGTGAATGAAGAGGAGGAGGAGACTGTTAAAGAGACCCTTTCAAAACCAAAATTATATGTTCAAATGAATATGTTTTCTGTACCTCTGCAATCTTAACCGTGCGGAAGCTAAACTGCCTGTCAGCATCTATACTGTGTGTTTATTTTTACACTTCATTTAGGTAAAAGCCAGGCTCCCAGACAGAGCAGTTTGCTTATTGGTTGCATGTTTTTAGTCTCTGAGCACCAGCACAAGGATATACTGTTCAGATGCAATGACACTGACTAAAGAAACTTAAATAACAAATATCATTTATTCACCTCAGGGTCTCTCATGAGTGTCTATAGACTTTCAATCAAAATTGTGCATAGAACCCATCTCTTATCAAACTCACATTGTCTTTAAATGGTTCTCCATAAAGTTAATTCAAATCCTTTTCAATATTTTAAGAGATTTTTAAAAAGTTTTTTATTTTGTTCTTTCTTTATTTCTGTGTTGCCTCTTGTGGGGTCAAAACACAGGGATAATACTTTTGCCATATTTTCCCTACGTATCTTTCTAGGCATCTGACATGCAGCAACAAGGAGAATTAACAAGGGCAACTCACATGTCTAGTTGTATCACATGGGTACACGCCCCTCTCATCCTGGAAACCTTCGCTTCTGGGGATGGGCAGCTCAAAATAATGCAAGTCAGGATTATGAAATAGTGTGATGCCATCTCAAACAGAACCTCCTACAATGTCTCTAGAAATGACTACACCCAAAGACAGTGGCACAGATGACAAGAGCATTCAGGGAAGTGATTGAACTTGATTGAGAGGTTCTGAGTGACCCTCAAATGCCACCACGGAAAGCACCACCCTTGCTATACTTGAAGGCAGAAAGAGACCATCATTCAGCTCCAGCTGTGTTCATAATGTTTCCATTCATCACACACCCAGTCCAGTCTTGTCTCTGGATATATGGTTCCTGGGATTACTTCTGCACATGGTAGCTATTATATAAATTATCAAAATCAAACGTAATAACACCAGTCGTGAACTTGGTCATTAATCAAATCAGTAGGCAGGAACAAAGAAATATAGAAGATAAATACACAAACCATATGCAAAAAGAAAAAACAAATCACTCATCCTCCCGTTTCCTGGAATAGGAATAACAAAATATTGCAACACAATGGAACATTATACATTAGTGAAAAAAAAAATAAATAAACTTTACTAAAGAGGTATTTGCTTGCTTTTCCATTTTATGTTCAATAAGCTGCTTAATGGGAAAAACAACCTCACTTAATAATTGTGGGTAACATTATAGCCCCCATTGTGTATATGGGAGATGACTTTTTTCATGTTTTTCTTAATGAAACATGACATTTATAAAAGAAATATATGTATGTAAGTAAAATTCTTCCAATAAGTGGTTTTTTTTTATAGGCAAAATGCAGTTGTCTTCCAAACAGTAAGAGTTTAATATACTGAGGTCAAACCACTAATACTTCCATGGTATCTGCTAACACATATGAAATATGATGTTGATGAGGGAATTTCCTAATTAATCGTATGTCTGACATACCCGTGTACTCCCACACCTGCCTCCAAATTGCCTTCCCCTAAAACAAAACATAAAAACTTCCCATTCAATGTGTACATTTGTGGAAATGAGATGATCAATTCAATATCTACTTTTCTAACTCCCCCATTATGCCTCACATGCACAATATACATGAGGTTTTACTGTTAGAGCTTTGAGCATCAATTTATATTCGCATAAAGAAATTTCCATCTACTAATAAGAGCTCTTGCAATTCACATTTTTTAACAACAATAGACACAAATCCTCTTGCGGTTACTATCAATAATAAAGACAGGTGGGGAAACTTCCCTAGTTCACAACAGATATTTTCTTCTTGAACATCTGATTTTCAGAGGAACAATCCTGTCCTGGATTCTTTGTAATTACAAGTTACTTCTTTTCTTTTCCTGGTGCATGATTTTATTTTTCTAGTGTTTATTTATGGAGGACGCATTCACTTCTGCCTCTATTATTTCAAGTTCCCTGTCTCTGGTTCTAAGGGGCTGCCGGCCTGAAGCATACCACTTCACTGAACACCTGGCTTCTATATTCCTCTAAAATCCAGAGGTACAGTTCCTTTTTCTGGCATCTTGGGCAACACTGTTAGAGAAACCAAGATTGTCTGTTTTGATAACTACTTTTGCCAAAATGGTTCATTCTTCTCAAGCCTGGGTGGGGAGTCTGGGGGGACTTTTAGGAGTCATATGGGCATAGCAGGTGGGGGGAACTGACAAAAGACCAGGGCCAAAATCTTCCTCTGTGCCCCTGCAGATCTCAGTTGAAAATACTCTATCAACATCTCCAACCAGCAAAAAGCCTGGAACATCAGTATTTTTCATTTAGACACTGAGATCATCACCTCTGATTTTGAGAGAGCAGCCCCTGGACACTACCTGTGCAGGTAAGGGAGACCACTGCTCTAATGCTCACAACAGCTCTGAGATTTAATGAACCCCAGACCCATCATCTCATTCTAGGGCCACTTAGTTTATTTTTGAGAAACGAAGTAAAAGAGGCTTCCCTTGCAAATGCTGAATTTCTGACAGCCAGTTTTCAGATTTTTCTTTTGCAAGTTGCTATCTAGTAACTCAGGACTCACTGCCTGAAAATTGCTTCCAAAGGGTTCAAATTGGAATCACTGTAGAGGAGGTGGCACACAGTTGCTTGCTTTCATTAACTCTTACCTCTACCAGAAACCAAGCAGCTACGATGCCAAATCACACTTGCTATGACCGTTTTGTTATCTTGTCAACTCTCTGAGAGTTTTAAGTAGCATTTCTCTTTTTTGCTTTTCAGTACCCACCCCTCAAACACACTTCCTCAGTGCACCTCACACAGCCTCCTCCCACCAAGCAAAAAATCAAAATTCTAGTTTATGGCAAGAGCAGAATCAATGCAGTGGTCTCTCTTCCCCATCATTTTCTCACTTTTCCCAAGTTATTGTACCAGCACTCTACTCCATAGCCACAGTAAGATATTAATAACCCTTGGTAGAAAGACTCCTTATTAGGTCACACAGAATCATTACGGTTTAACAGCTGTCTCCCGATCTAACCTGTGCAACAGGCGTGGAAAGTAAACTTAGAGGCTCAGTGGGCAGCCCCACAAATAGGGCTTCACAGCTTTCACCCCAATGCTCCCGTTGGCCTCTGGTCCCCAGCACGTGAGCCCCTGCCCCTGTAGACCGAAGGAGAAGTCATTCTCAGCTCAGCTCACCTGTTTGTAGGCATCGAGGAGGAAGCTCTTCCAGACGCAGCGCAGTCCCTCTGAGGTCAGCATGCGCCGCCACTCTCCGCGAGTGGACTTGGAGCGGCTCAGCAGCAGCACCACGTGCTTGAGCAGAATGACCGAGTCATAGAGCGCCAGGAAGAGGCAGTTGGAGAAAAAAACTGGCAGAATTTGCAGTGTGATCAGCAAGTCTACGCTGAGGATGCCCATCTTCTCTGCCTCCTGAGTCAGTTCCCTTGTGCGCTCTGGCTCCCCTTCACCCTCTTATTTAAAAGGGGGGTGGTGATAAAGGGGGGTGGGGGAGGTAAGGGGAAAGGTTGGGGGTGGGGGTAGAAGGGGGGGAAAAAACTAAATTAAAAGGAAGCCCAAGTTGTCTCCTCTTTCAAAGAAGCAGAAATGGCAAGACCAACTCCAGTCTCTCCAGCCCAGCAGTTGGAGTGTGCCCATCAATTCATTCAATTCGGAGCTGCTGCTTTTTTTTTTTTTTTTTTTTTTTCAGGATTTAAGATGTTAAAAAAAAAAAAAAAAAAAAACCACTGGCGTACCCGTCCCTAATCCAGTTACCCCTGTCAGAGTCCGTTAAAGACAGGCAGTTCTACTTTCATTTCCAAGCACCTATGAGACTGTGGCAGAGATTTTAAACTTTTCTTTAGCCTTTCATTGTCTCTTTAAACGTAGCCTGTTTCTTTCTTGAAATGCCAGAGTTGTTTTTTAAATGTGCTTTAAGGGTAGCTTTTTTTTTCTTGCTTTACTCCGTTTTACACACACTTTCTGTGTCTCTCGTTCTCCCAGTCTCACTCTCTCCTTCCCCAGGACCGACCGACTCCTCTTTTTTCTCAGTCTCTGTCTTTCCTTCCTGCTATCTGTCTGTGGTGCAAAGCGCCTCTCTCTGCAGCCCAGTGAGTCTCCCTGAAGCCTTTTATACATTCCCTGGCTAATTGCTGCAATAGAGAAATGAAAGCCTAATCTTGGTAAAGATCTTGACGTCATTGAGAAACAGGGCTTTACTTTGGCCAGGACTGCAGTGAATAGAAAAGCAAAACTCGACAACTTTTTTTTTTTTTTTTTTTTTTAGAAGGGGTGGGGGAGAGACAGTGGAATTTTGCTTTGTGATTTAAAGAGAGAGAGAAAAACTAATACCCTTGACAGCTTTCAGGAAATGCTTCCAAACTTTGGGAAAAGTAATTTAATATAATGTGTTGATTGACATGGCCAACACTCTCTCTTCCGATTATCATTATCATTAATTTCTGAGGGATTTTGGAAAGAAAGGATCCTGGAAGGCAGGTAGAAAAGAGAAAGAGTTATCACAGGTGGTCTTAGCTCTGTTTCTTAGAACATGTGAACATTTATATACAATCTTTATATCTTTATACCATGACTCCAACTCTTCATAAGATATGTGACCTAGGTCCTTTAAATTTTTTGAGTCATGATCTTATTTAAGAAAATGCAAAGTGAGTTGTAGGTGGAAAACTTTTAAACTATTTCAGTACCATCACAGCATTTCTTTAAAGCTTCTTGCAGAAACTTGAATACAGGTTTCTTTTTAGTTTTACCCAAGCTTCCAATGAAAAAAAAAGAGCTAGGTGACATTCATTTAGCTTCATTTAGCAGATAAAATTAAAACTTTCCATTGAATAACATTGAGATGCCATAAGGCTGAGAAATTATTTATGTTTCACCTCTTCTGTTAGCATAATCCCTAAGAGACCCGATACTTCAAGAAATTTTTCTTTTTGTTTGAAAAAAAAATTTAATTAAATGTATAGGGGGGTTAAGAGCAGACTGAATTGGTTCAAAGTGCCACATTGACCATTGTTCAATGACTTGTCTTTCCCATGAGTCTTTAGGACAGGTATTTAGGCAGACAATGCTTCGGCAGAATGCCATGACCCCTGCCTTATTCTACTTTTTCTCTCGGTGTTACCGAACACATCACCTCTAGGAATTATGTTTTCTTGGAAGGTGTAGCAAGCACAGTCTTTGGGGTGGGGTATAAAATTGTAACTGAAAATTAATTAGCTGAGTTTTCTATGTTGCCAGAGCTCTCATTAAGCATAAGCTAAGCAGTAGGTGCAAGCTTGTGGTTAGTATATTGCTGTATTTTTTTCCATGTGGCTAAAACCTTCATGATCACAGAAATAATTTAAAAGTCTGGACAGGAGTCATTAATTTGTAGGCCTGTGAGCTGAATTCTGTATATTAATGCATCTTGTTTGGTTGGCAGGTTGCTTTTTGCCTTTAAAAAAATAATCAAAAGAGAATATCTTTAGGTTCTGTGAGACAGAGATTCTTGTCCACTTTGTTTACTGCTACCTCTCCAGCACCTAGAACCAAGCTTGGCACACAATAAGCTCAATGAGGATGTTCTGAATGAATGAATGAATGAACAGGGCATCTAGTGGGCCTCTGCATTGCTCTACACTAGGGGGCGCCATTCACATACAATATGAAGTGAACGGGGTGCCCTGGCATTGTAAAACGTGGTGGCCTTGCGCAATGCCCTCTCTTGTGACACAACCCTCAGCATTCCCTACAAATTCTTTCATTTTTATCCCTAGTTTGGCCTCTGATGAGTTTTGAATTTGCATCTCATGGATTAAATTGTTATAGACTTCGAAGCTTAGAAAAATAAACTATAGAGAAAAATTATATTTTCCCTATGACTAGCAATAATGTTAGCAAAAGAATATTACTAATATAGACAATGTACATTTACTGCATGTATCTTCTCAAACCGCTCAATGTTCTTATGGGAAAAAAGAAAGAACAAAGGCAGGGAGGTGACAACGCGGTTTTTTTTTGTTTTGTTTTGTTTTTTTTTTTGAGACAGTCTTGCTCCGTCGCCAGGCACCAGGCTGGAGTGAAGTGGTGCGATCTCAGCTCACTGCAACCTCCTCCTCCTGGGCTCAAGCAATTCTCCTGCCTCAGCCTCCCGAGTAGCTGGGACTACAGTCCCGCGCCACCACTCCCAGCTAATTTTTGTATTTTTAGTAGAGACGGGGTTTCACCATGTTGGCCAGGATGATCTCGATCTCTTGACCTCATGATCTGCCCGCCTCTGCCTCCCAAAGTGCTGGGATTACAAGCATGAGCCATTGCACCCTGCAGAAAACGCGGTATTTTAACTGGTGGAGGTGTGAAAGCTACATTGCCATAGTTCCCGCCAACAATTGCAGAAGGAGGTGTGGACACAGGAAATGCTGCTTTGGCTCATTGCCCAAGCCTTAAAGTCTCTCCCCTTCTCAGACTTTCATTCCAAGACCTTCATTCCACCTCGATTGGATTAAACCAATGCTCCTCTGCAGTGAAGACTTCAGCCGCTTTAAACCAATTCTCTCTCACTTGGTTTTGCTCTGAAGGAGGAAGTATGTTTGGAAATGGCACGCTAAGGAGAGGGATGGATAGAAAATCAAAAAGCTTTCTTTTAAATGTGAAGTTCAAAGCACATCAGACTTTAAATGTTTATAAATTAGAATTAGGACTCCACTGGGGGCTTTTGTTTCTTTTGATTTTTAGAGGTTAGAAGTGTTTGAGAGGAAATTTTTAAAAAATAAGACATCAAAAAATACACAGCCAATCTGGTTATGTCTTTTCTTACATTTCTTCTGTCATCATTCTAAATGAATGAATAAACAAATCACAAAACTGAGAGCTATTCCTCTAGCAGATAGAATATCTGTCCATCCAAGAAATTACATTTCTCCAAAGGTATTTCTTTTTTTATGCATGGTCCACGATTTCTTGTTCCAGTTATTAAGAATATTTATCACATTCATTTTCAAGTAATTTTTTACTCATTAAGTAACAATATAATCATAAGGTGATAGAATATGATTTTTCCCATCATATAGATGAGAAAAAGCAGATTACCAAAGTTAGGAAGTCCAAGTTGGTGTTGGGATATTTTCCCTCACTCCAATTTTTTTTTTCTTTAATGTCTCTTATGGCTCCTGGTCATTACTCTGAGAACCAAAACTCTTATCGAAAGTGGTTTGCTAGTAATTTAATCTTCTAAATGGCAAAGGCTGTCAGGACTTCACATCTGTTTAAGACTGTCCTGAATCAGGCTCCTTATTTAGATTTCATGTGTTCTTTCAAAGGGCTTGGATATCTTCTTGGTCATGTATATGTTCTTAGCAATCAATGAGTTCTTACCAATGTAATGAGTGAAATGCAAACCAATGAGTGGCATGTTGGCTGCATTTCCCCATAAGATGTTGTGCAAAGGTTTTAAATTCCAAGGAAAAGCAGCCTAGGGCAAAATGCTTTGAGCTTTTTCCAAAAAGAAAAAAAAACCTTTGTCAAATTGTTTAACTTCTTTTACATTCCCATAATAAGAGCATCTTGTCCTACTGTTTCCTCCTTCTGGTTGGAAAATAATAAGTAGATGAGTCACAAGTCTTTCTTTAGTCCTCTTCTTGACTCTAAAATTGAGATTGAGAAAATAAAGTTGGATAATCTGAAAGCAGGCCTGGACATTTTAAGCATGCAGTTGCCACTACTATTTCCTTATTCTTATTTGAAAGAGGAGAAGAGCGTCCAGACAGTTCTGTGACATTCACAATTGATACCATCGACTTTCAAGCTGCCTCGGTTTCATGGTATTTTATTCTTTCTAATTCAAGTGATTTGTCAAGTGCCTAATAAAAAAATGGCATTTCATTTTTACTTTATTAAAAACATGTCAAATAAATATATTATAAATCTAAAAATGTCTGGAAACAGGAGGCATGCCGATTTTGGATTTGAGAATATGGTTGCCATACATAACCCTCAAAACAGTGCTGCTCCTATCAGAGCAGGGAATCACAAACTATGTAACCTTCTGTCTCTAGTGACTCTGTGCCTGCCAGGGAGTTATGATGAAGGGCTTACACCACAACTACTGAATCACTCAAAATTCCCTGTGGGTCCATCCATTCCACAAACACAGCCTTGTTCTCTGCCCTGTGATGAAAGGAGGAGCTCAATGGATAAAATACACAATCCCAGAGTAAACTCTGACACACCTTGACCAAAGCAACTTGGGGGCGGGAGGGCAGGCTGACACCCTGGGAGGTATGAGCGTTCTCTCCCAGCAGCCCTCGCGACAGGTTCCTCTGCAGCTCTGCCTGACAGCGCCTGAGGTGTTGATGCATGTCCCTCAGGAACTGTTGCTGCTCTTTTTTTTTTTTTTTTTTTTTTTTCTAGGCTTCCTACTGGTAAGACAGACGGGAACATAATAAAAAGGACAGGGAAAGCAAAAATGAAAAGACGTGATAAAGATGGTAGGAGAAAGGCGGGGAAGGAAAAGGCTCAATGAATTGCCAAATGTGGCAATGCCTTTTGTGAGGTAACAGCTGTCCAGTGTCTGGATGGAAGCCACCACTGCATTTCACAGAGGCCACAGAACAGCTGTTAGGAGACAACGATACTCTTCACTTGCTATTGGCCTGGTGGAGATGCACGTTGATAGCCAGTCCCCTCCCCCACCACTGTGCAAACCTCTCCAGGTGCCTTGAATGTTATTTGGCTTTGAAAACCATTTATCAGCCTCTAGAGACGCCCAGGGTTGGGGATGGTGTGACAGGAGGGGTGGCAGGGGGATCGAGAAGAAGACTCTGTAAAGTTATACATGGTGAATTCATTCTGGACCAAAAACAGAAAGAAAAAGCTCAAAATGAGGAAATTGAATCCACCCTTTCTTTTCTAAAAATATGACTCAATCTCTTCTTTCTCCCTAAATCCTTGACCCAATGCAGTAGACCAAAAGAAACAAAGGAAAATGATCAAAAATAGCCATCATCTTTGGAAAAACTTTTCCTTTCCTTTGTTTCATTCCACAGCTCATAGGAAACTGCCGGATGATATGAAGCTTTAAAATAAAATAGGTCATTCTTTATAAATGGCTTTATAGCAGCTTTTTAAAAAAGTCACTTATCCATCACCTCCCTCTTATGCTGAATATGTGAACACAGAGCATGACAAAATATATTAAGAAACATGCTGGCTCATGCCATTTCAGAGCTAATGGTGCAGTTTGTTCCCACTGAGAGCAAAGAATGCCACACCTCCTCTCTCAAGAATCAGTACCTAAGCAAGCCTCAAAGGAAATAAACTAGGTATTCTATTCTAACCTCCGTGGAAATGAGGAAGCTAATAGAATTACCTGTAGCATGAAAAATTCCTGTTTGGTAAAAGGATAAAATACCTGCAATGAGGGTGATTGTATAATAAG